AATTGTGATAAAAGCGGCAGTTTTTCGTCACGTCCGCGTCGTAGATTTGGTAGTAGACAAATTTAGAAAAGACGACGCGACCTCAAAGACGACGTGAAAATGGCGTGGCACATCCATATATGGACAGAACACGCAATTTTCACGTCGTCTTTGAGGTCGCGTCGTCTTTTCTAAATCTGTCTAGTATTAATGATAATGCTAGGAACCTGACGAGATGCTACAGATCAGCATCTTCCAACACAACACAACACAACATATTAACCAGGGGTCGGTTGTTCAAAGGTGGATTAGCGCTAACCATGGGTGAAAATTTAACCTGCTGTTTTAGTTTGTGTATTTCTGCATGTCTTTTTATTTCAAAACTTCAGAGAAGTAAACTCCTATTGATCCTGACAAGATCTCTGAAGAAATATTTCTAAATTTATAGACAAGCTGTCAGAAAGTTTGCTTTGAATTTTAGGTTAATCTAGGGTTAAGCTAACCCAGCTTTGAACAACCGGCCCCTGGTATAAAATTCACACCGGAATCATTGGACTGATAGCTACTGCTGTCAGATTCTGTTAACAGACCATCAAGATTCTCTGGGTACAAGATTAATCAAGATTCGACTCACTTGCGTGACGTCACAATAAATGCTAGTGCCAGACTCCTGTCGCCGACGGCCATTAGCCAAAAATATTTGGATTCAAAGCATAGATCTATGTTCAAAGTTTCAAACCACAGAATAAGGTTTGATGAAATCGAAAATTTTTGTCACTAGAACACTGCACTAAATGAGTACTTTCAACAGACTGAAAATCATTTTTTGTGTCAGGGGCACTTTAATGGGTTAACCCATTGAGTTGCTTAATTAATATAAATTGAATTAATACTGTGTCTAACAACAGATGATTTTACTTGTAGAGGGGAGAGCGCTGGCTCTGACTGGGTTAAGCAAGAACAGTAACGACAGTGATATCATCTCCAACATGAATCGTCCCAGGTATACCAGCAACAAAATGATTTTCAAACAAAGGCCTCTGTCCATGACCATGTCTTGCATCATCACCTATTCACCTTTAGATACACATATTCTGAATAAAAGAAAAGAGCCGTCCTAAATGGTTGGCTGAATGATTAGACAGATTTAGAAAAGACGACGCGACCTCAAAGACGACGTGAAAATGGCGTCAAAATGGCGTGGCACATCCATATATGGACAGAACACGCCATTTTCACGTCGTCTTTGAGGTCGCGTCGTCTTTTCTAAATCTGTCTATTGACTGAAGCGTGTTGTTGATGGAAATTATCAAGTGGAAATTTATAAACATTTTATTAGATCTAACCCGGAACAGCTGTGAAAAATGTAACTTTAGGTCCTTGGCAGGAATTGAACCTGTTGCCTTGCAATTCCGGTGCAGTGCTCCAACCAACTGAGGTACACAGGCCAGCCGCAAAACTCTAAAATCACAAGCTCCTCTATATATAATTATAGGGTTAGGTTAACTGCCATGTTTTAGGTTATGGGCAGTGGCGCCGTGTCCGGGGGGGCAGGGCAGGGGGCATGGTCACCCCATTTTTTGAGACCCGTCGGAAATTGTTGGAAAATTGCCAATGTTGTCGCCGGGGGGGAGGGGGGGTGGTGGTGGTGAAGATTTAAAATGTTGTCGTCCGGAAAAATTTTTGGTTTGTCGGAAAAAAATTTCGGTTTGTCGGAAAAGCACTGCCCTTGCCCCCCCAAAAAAAAACATGGGTCCCACGGCGCCACTGGTTATGGGTAAATATTAAGAATTTGTTGGCATACTGGTTAGGTCTAATAAAATGTATATAAATTTCTACTCGATAATTTCCATCAACAACACACTTCAATTATTGAATCGAGCGAGATGCTAACAAAATCTCAATGATTGATAATAGACAGCAGTGGACAGATTGACTGATAGGCTAACTTAGGGAACATTAACTAGTAAATTCAAAGTCACAATGCTACATCACCTTTTTAGAATCTCCAGCGCTGTTCTCCATCATTTCGTTTCACACCAGCATGCATATGTCTAATCTTGTTAATTAATACACATCTGAAAGAACGATTAATATTCCATAGTGTCAATAGAATATTTAGTGCATACATGTATATACCTTCCACCTGTGGTTTGATTTCCTGGTTTAATTCCTGTAATATTGTTATTCGAGTGAAATGTTGCACATGATACAGCTAGAGTGCTTCCAGTCTGACTAATTTATATCAATTGCAAACATCAGCAGTGGTGGAAATCTTGGTGGGGAGGGGGGTGGGGCCACCTTCGTGGAAAATGACGAATTTTCGGAAACTTTGACCTTTAAAAGGCCTAAAAACAGCCTTTTCGAGTGCAAATGGGGGGGGGGGATTGTCGGAAATTTAGAAGGCTTCGTCCCCCCCCGGAAAAAGTGAATTTCCGCCACTGAACGTCAGGGTTACATGGTTGTAATGAAATGATCAATATACAAACATACAGTGTATAACCAATACATTACAATATTGTAATCTAATTATTGTCACTTGTCTGAGCTATTGGAATCACTGTCGCTGTACTAATTAAACAACAGGCTTTAAGACATGGAGGGGCTTATATTTGGAATCATGGCCTGTGTGTTAGTGAATATAGTGGGCTTATACACAGAGGGCCTATACCGGGGGGAGGAGAGTTATATTCTAAGGTATATTACTATCCAACGTTTCATATATCCTAGCTGAATCATACAATATAAACACGGTTGAACACAGTTCCGGAAAGTATGGACAGCACCTTGGCCATCCTTTTTGTGATTGACGTCTGGCTTTACAGTCAAAGTGAGATACTTTCCAGGAGGGTGGACTCTGTATGCAAGAATATACAACACTATGTGCATGATTTCAGAAACTATTAATATATCCAGGTTTATAAGGAAGTTTATAATAATTATTAAATATAGGATTCCTCTTTTGACGATTGAAGCAAGCTTTAGACAAGAATATTTCGCATCAACTATCGTCAGAAAAGGAAACAAAACAGTACAAAATATATTGAAAGCTTCAATGTACCTTTCGGTAGAAATCAACGGCGGCGCGACCTCTTGGTTAAATTAATTGACGGTGTAGATTTCACTTCCCCTTCATCTATTCCAGTCGATTCATCGTCTTAGATAGATATAATCTTTAAATTTTAACCTTCTACAAGCATATATTTTCATCGGAATTTGTTTTGAAAACAAATACGGTAATTTTTTGAAATTTTTGAGCCGTCTCGCACGTGTCTCGAACTCGCGGGACCAGTGCGAATTTTCCTGCGTCCTGATTGGATGATGCCCACGCATGCGCTACGTTTACCCGAGTGTCAAGTTATCGCGCATGCGTTTGTTTCAATGATTTGGTAAACACCGACCTAAAGCGTCCCACATGCACCACACCAGGCAACTGTAACGTACTTATATACCGAAATGTTACTATTACTTGTGTGTGGTAGTTACCGATCATAGGATCTTGCGAAAAGGGTGCCAGGCATAATGGTCTGGGGGCCGCCGGCACTCTCCCCCGTAGTTCGTTCGATACCGGTTGGTAAGCCACCTATTCACCGCCTCTGACGATAGCGTTGAGTTTAGCCGAAATCTAGCTTAAACGTTAACATACGGCGTTCTAGCGGCTAGCACGAGACGGACTTGACCGATACGGGCTAGCAGAGTCGGGAAGTATGGACTGACGAGGCACTTTTCTTTTTAAAAATTTTATTTCTAATTTACCATTCGATATAAAAACAGATCTTCTAATTTACCGATCAATTGAATTGTGACTAAACAAAGTTTAATAGCAGTGTGTTTTGTGCTTTTTATTCTAATTTATAGAAATCTAAAAATGTATCTTTACTACTTTTTTGTGTCATATCAAATTTAGAAACAAGATTAAAAACCTAAATTAAACTATTTTAAGTTCTAAAGTTTCACGCCAGAATACCAACTATTTCGCTATTTTGTAGGTACCCGTCTACTTTCTGGTCCGCCTTCATTTTAACCAATCAGATCACGATCCAAAAAATCTCTTAATCTGATTGGCTAATTGAAGTGATCCGTTAATCCCACCAAGTTTGAACACAGTTGTGGTTTGAAAGAGTTTTGGGTAACCTTCAAGGACTTCAAGTGTTACAGCGAAAGTATTAACTGAGCCACAGCAATAAAATTAACTGCAACGGCAAAACAAAATTGAAACTCGCGGTAAAATAAAGTTAACTCACGGCAAAACAAAATTAACTAATGACAAAATAAAAAGTCACGGGTGAAATAAAGTTAATTTTTTAAAGTCGTGGAGATCCCCCGCGCATTCCCGCCATTCTTGTAACGCTGTGAAGTTGTGAACCTAGTGTTTGTTGAGAGCGGTTGACAAAATCTTTTGCTCAGTGTGTGACTGTTCTGGTGCCAAAAGGCTACAAATTTTGCTCAAAATGTGGAATATAAATGCACTGTATATTTTTAAAAAAAAATGTCTCAAAAACTGTCTGACAAAGCTGTTTGAAACTCATTAAATAAAGTTTGTATTTTGAGTGATTCAACGTCAGATTTTACTGATTTCTGACCCCTTTTCTTCAGTATTTTAATACTTTAATAGTCCTTGAATTTGCTGATACATGGCCTTGAATTTGACTCTTCTTCACATGTACGAACCCAGCTGTATAAATCTAACCTCGATGGCTCGATCATTTACTGTAACTAGTACTAACTACTATATAAAACTAGTCAACTGTGTATATAAATTTCAGAGGATACATATTTAATATTGAATTGTATCAGAGTATTATTCTTTATTCAGTGATTGTTACACAGAGTAATCACGCAACGTAAAACCGCTGACTTAAAGAACACTGTTTCACGAACCCGAAACGATTGTCTTACATGAATTTCTTGCATGTTGTTTTATTCTGAATTCTGATTTTTGATGTTCTGATTCTTTCATGCTGCCAACGTGGGTTTTGTAATAATGGTTTACTTATAATATTACTAGAAAGTTCATGTAGGTTACTTTTAGTATATTTTCAATGCTACGTCGAAAAGCAAAGAGGCAACTCGAAAGTTCAGAGAATGAGGAGGTCACGGCCACGAAGCATGGTCGTCGCACAACACCAAACCAGAATGAAGAGGCTGATGATTTAGAAAAACTTGTATTTGGTGAACAACATCTTCATTTTGATATTAATATAGAGGTAAGTTTTATCACATAACTAACGAAGTACCAAACTAAAAGATTTGGAAATGTGATGATGATGCCACCCTGCCGAATTAATCAATTTTATATAATTATATTGAGCCTATAAATGCCTATTGATGGTCATAACCAATTTGGTTCGTAGAGCATAGCATCGACTTTATTCTTCGATCTTCCTTGAATTTTATTCAGCCTTACATAATGTTTGACATTTCTGTCTGTTTTAAGAAGAATGAAGTCGAGGTTGTGCATACAGTATGTGGCCCAGTTTCGGGTCATTTCAGGTTTGAACTGCTGTATCTTCCTTTTCAGTAAAGGTACGATATTTAAATACTCACTTGAGAATAGGAAAGGTGTTTCTTAACAATATTTCAAAAGATTGACTTTTCTTACTTTTCACTTTTAGAATTATTTATATTTTTAAGAATCATTTTAGGTGCCCAGTATCGGGTCAACTGCACCAGTATCGGGTCACTTCAAGTTTCTTTGTTTATTGTATAAAAGCGTTTGTTTTATGGCAATTTTCGATCCTTTTTTATAGTTTCAACATGTCTTAAGATATTAACAACTTTTTTGTGAGGTTTTGACAAGGTTTAGACATTATATTTCCAGTTTGAAACTACCTCTTCTACACAGTTTTTGCGGAGTGCGTTCTAAGCAGTGCTTCCACTTTCAAAGGTTGAAACATAGCTGACCCGAAACTGGGCCACAAAGCCGAACTTTACGTAATTTGTGGGACCAGAATATGTCTCTGAATAATTGAATGCTTAAACTTTCTATTTCATATTTATATATTCTCGGCAATAATCTATCGTTAGGACAAAAATTGGGCAGTTACATGGAGAATTACATATCAATAATACAATTTATTGTTATTAGTTAGTTTTACTGCACAGTGAAATGAACAAATTTTAGTAAAAGAATATAAACATACCCGGACAAAAGGAATTCTTCTTTGAATACAGTTCAACTAAAAAGCCTGCAAAAACTATCATCCAAAAAAGGAAAGGTTTGCCATTATATCTGTATATTTTATTTCCCGTCGCTTTTTATCTCGGCGGAAAAAAAATGAAATCAAATTTCTATTGACCCGCTACTGGTACTGACCTGAAACTGGGCCACATAGTGTATACTAGCCCAAGGGCGGATTTTCGTTTATTGAAAAGGAGGGGTAGAAAAATTTCTGGTGGGGTGCAAGTGGCAAAACTAATTTAATTTGACATTTTTCAGAATTCATAACGCTCATTGTGTGACTTGTCAGATTATAAATTTAGAATACTTTAGCTTGTTTTTAGCTTGTTTTTATTTAAACTTGCCATTTCGTTGCTGTTGTTATTGTAACAAATAGTGCTTCCTTATATTGTGCTTTCATTTTACAAAATAAAATCTAGCTAAATATAATTTTAGTAAAATATTTTTTTTTGGGGGGGGGGGGGCGATTGCCCCCCTTCGCCCCCTAGTTTCCGCCACTGCTATGTACATGCAAATTAGTAGTACATCCTCTGAGAAAATTCACAAACTAACCTCTCCAAAATTTGAGGTCCTTGACGTGGCTAGAAAAACACTAAATGCCGATACCATCACAATATGTTATACTAAATGTGAGCGGATTGTTTTATTTATATTTGCAACCACTTTAAGCAAACCATGTCTCAATATCATGGTATTCTATCAAGTTGCTAACAATTTTGAAAAGTAGCGAATAGCGATTCGCTGTTTGAAAAGTAGTTGACTACTTGGGATAAATTGACTACCACTCACCCGGGATAAATTGACTACCACTTTCTACATATTTTTGAGTTGTAATGTCACAAGTATGACTTCATTCTCGTACCCAGAGCCCTTCTTACGCGCGGTGCGACGAGGGGCTCTGGCCAAATCCATAACCGGATACCATAAAAACATGGTAAGAAAACAATGTCCGGTGTTAGAACTAGCCAATCAGATGCCAGTTCGGAATATTCTTGTTATTGCCATTATCTCAAGTCATACAGTCGCTATTAAAGTTCACTTGTGATGTCACAACTCAAAATATAGAAATTACTTTTCATAAGCACTGTAAGATTGAGGCTAAATAATTTTTAGTCATTTTGAAGGTAGAGTGTGTGGCGAAGCTAGATCTGGAAATGTTGCAGTTGAGGGAAGGTGGATGGTCCCCAAAACATTTAAGTGCCGTTCTTCCTTTTTGGTGGCAAATGCTGAAAAGTACTTATTTTGTGCTAGTTTTATACTATCACCTTGTGTATAAATATTCAGATTATTTGGTATTGTGAGGGAAACTCCCAGTGATGGGGTATGTTTGGGGGGGGGGGATGAGGCAAGGATGGATTTTAGTGGAAATTGTGGGGGAGGTGGGAAAAAATTTAGGGGAGGCGCAGCAGTCTAGCTCACGACCTCCATGGAAAGTTAGGGCTTAGAACGGGCCAAGGTCAACGTGGCGTATGCACATTAATGAACTTTGACTGTACAACTCATCCAATTTTGCCCTTTGTTACAATTACTACAAAGTTTCTTTCAAAACATTGCATTAAAAGGGCACTTGACACAGAGATGAATGGCTATAACTGTTTCAATTTTACAGAAAAACTTTCTTACAAAGTGTAGTCCCTAAGCAACCAATAAATGTCAAATTTTCACTTTGATCTATCATTGAAACTTTCCCAAGAGGAGGTGCATGACTTTTCAGAGGAGGTGCAAAAATTCTCAGGAGGTGCAAAACGATCTCAGTGGAGGTGCGCACCTCCCCTCAAAATCCGGCCATGGTGTTAAGGGGGAGGAGGAGAAAGGAAACCTGACATAAAAACCTAGTTTCTTGCTTTCTGCTCCGCTTGAATTCACATACATATTTTCTAGAAGCTGCACTCGTCTGTTTATTTTTACTTTCTAAAAATAAGTATTCCTGACAGTATTTTAATACAAAGTTATTGCTGGTCAGGGTTCAATATAATTCTGAAAATTTGGTCTGATATTGTGTCAGACCAATCCATGTTTTGGTCGGACATGATCGGACCGACAGAGGGACGTTGATATTCTCAAGAGGGACGTTGTCAGTTGTCTGTACTAGAAACCAAAATCGTAACAACTACCAAAAGTCCAAAACCATATATGCATAATAGTTAACAATTAAAATTACACAATATCAACGACAACTTACTCATATAATTGCTGCCGCAGCGAGCGAGCCTGAAGCGAGCGAGCAAGGCAGCAGATCCTAATTTTGTTTTGATCCTAATTTTGTCGATATCAAAATTTTCTATTTGGCGCATTGCATGACGGTACCAGTGAATTTTAACCGTGGTGCAGCGCGGTCAAGCATAAGGCAAACAGGCAATGTGATCATCTTTCATCTTTGGTCTTCTTTTATGGAAAGCCATAGCTGGCTTAAAGTGATCAAACGGCATTTTGTTGGGTGCTTTTAGCATTATACGGCGGTGCTTTCGGCATTATACACGGTGCTTTCGCCATTATACGCGGTGGTTCCCGCATTATACGCTGTGGTTCCAGCATTATACGCGGTGCTTTCACCATTTATATACGCGGTGCTTTTGCAATTATACGCAGTGGTTCGAGCACTATATGCGGTGCTTTTAACATTATACGCGATGCTAGCTTTCATTCAACATTATTTTCATATTCTTTCCATGACATGTATATGATTTAACGATTGCTTAAATTTGGTATGTGGTTGACGAATGCTTTTTGCCTATGGTCCGCAAAGACAATGACATGCTTTTCTGTGTATATAAATAAATATAACGCAGCGAATGCGCCAAGCAGTATAAACGCGCGGCTGAAATACGATATTAAAATCTTGAATGTGCCGTATGATTTAATTATGTTTTAGGATTTACAAATGCTTTGTCATTTGGTGTTTATACTTGTACTGCATCACAAGGCAGTACGTAAGTGAAAAAATTTCACATGTGAGATTGTCTTGTATATATTTTTGCTTTCTTTGACAAACATTATTAATAAACACGCAAATTTTAATTAGTGAGATGCAATGTTAAATGTCACCTGCATGTCATTGTCATTGCCCTTTAACCCCTGGTCTAATTGACCGCTTTTGAAAATGTTGATCATGACGAACCGCACTTTTGTGTTTTAAAAACGAGTTAGGATAAAACGCGGATACGGACGGACGGATGAATGACGGACGGACGGATGGCGACGGACGGACCGGACGGATAACATATATATGTCATTATATAGTCTGCGCGCAGCCGCGCAGGGTAGTTAGTGGCTTACGTCTTCGCTGGTTGTTATACTTTAAAATAATTTTGTATTTACCGAGAAATCAATATTCCGAGTATATAAATATATAAACTGGGATGTCACACTGATAGTTTGTTTACATTTCCTGGAGCATCAAATCTTATGTTTAACCACGGTGGTTTAACCCATTAGCTGGCAATGCGCCAGTCCCTTGTCCAGCGCCAGAAAATTTTACTCGTCAGTGGTACAGGGTACTGCCAGTAAATGGGTTAACAAACCTATCTGCCAATGGCTCTTGTTAATCCATCAGCACAGTAATGACTTTAGTATTTACCCTGTCCAACGCCAGACGATTTTTAATACTCAGTCAGTGGTAGGGCCGTGCTGTCAATAAATGGGTTAACAAGGATAACAATAGCCTGCGTAGCGGCCATCAGATCTACTTTCTCTGAGAGCCGCTACGCAGGCTAGGATAACAATAATAGGATGTTTCTGAAGGACTCGTTCAACACCCTGTAGTTTGTCTTTTGCTGTCAAAGGCAGCATTACTGCCCTGTGGGTAACCTAGTTTTGTTTTGTGGGTCGAAATCAAAATTTTCTATTTGGCGCATTGCATGACGGTACCAGTGAATTTTAACCGTGGTGCAGCGCGGTCAGGGATAAGGCAAACAGGCAATGTGATCATGTTTCATCTTTGGTCTTCTTTTATGGAAAGCCATAGCTGGCTTAAAGTGATCAAACGGCATTTTGTTGGGTGCTTTTAGCATTATACGGCGGTGCTTTTGGCATTATACACGGTGC